TATAGTTAGAGATAAGTGCACCCTGAAGATAGCTGCTTCGTTTGATATAAGATGCAAGTTAAGAAAGTAGCAAAATTAGAGTGTCCCCAACAGTAGCAGTGAAAGCGAAGCAGGTGCTGCATCAATGCTCAACACTCGGAGCTGCTGCACACACAGGGACACCCACACTTCATACTTTCCGTTCAGTCGCATAAGAAAATGCTTCAGTGGTGGTTCAGTATTTGGTTCAAAGGGAAATTCCGCATAGAAAGCTTTATTCTTATCCCTACAACTGTTGGGGGCTGAAATTACCTGCTGTTGCTGAAAATCTTTTTGTCTGATGAATTGTGGCCTTTCCATTACAACAGATTTAAATTCAGAAAGGTTATCTGTTTGGAGAACTTTTTGACGCTTTGAAGGTTTCCTTAGCAGGGTAGAATGCTGCAAAAATTTTTAAGATGGCAGACTATTTAAAAAGATGATCCGCTTTATTTCAATTCAATAACGAGACTATACAATGGGAACATTTTATATGAAGTAAATGACAAGTGCATTTTGTTATTTACTATAATTATACACTATGATTTAATGTACTTATTTCATAACAACTTTATAAACCACTACATTTGATGAAGTGGTCATCTTATCATTTTCTCAACTTATTTCAGCCAATGAATTACTAAAAGCCAGGAAATCTATTGCCTTTTTTCCTTAAGAACAAAGTAAAAAAGATAATAAAAACAAGAAATAGTATTATGCTTATAAATTCAAATTTCCTCTATGTCTACAACATAGATGTTTTAAAAAGAGAGAACAAATTAGAATGAAAGGGGAACCAAATGGCTTGTGTATCTTCAGCTAATCTTATTTCTGTGAATAGAAGTCCTCCAACTAGGAACCACCCATCTCGTGTGTATGCAAATCTTACATAGCAAGACCCTACTCATGAGATGCACATTTGCATCTATAAACAGAGAATTCTTTTAAGTCACAAAAAACACTTTAACTATATAATACCTTCATCAGTACACATAAATATTTGTAAATAAATAACGAAAGTACCCTGGAAATAGGTTTTATGTTTCTGATGTCAAATTTTAATCTTATCTATAAAGGCTACATTTTCTAGTCAATTAGTCACAAAATACATCCTTTAAAATACATACTTCCTTTATGAAGAAGACTTACACCAGACCTCATTACCAGCAAGATCAACCCAATCAAACCAACCAAATCAAACCAACACCGTCACTAAAAACAACCTAGAAAGGAAAACTGCATTAGCAAAATGAAATCAGTAACAAAAGCTGGAACAACTATTCCTTACAGTTTGAAGAGGACTAATTCTTTCTTACATAGTATAATTCGCCTGTAGTTATTTCATCACCTCCTTCTAGAGTTCCCTCCTGATGGGCCTACCACATATATATACACACGTATGTCTACATACATGTCAATGCATGGCCATATTTTACCTGGTCCTCACTGTATTTCTCTTGAAGCATTAGCTGGACTTTTTCCAAGTTGCACTTCACAGTTTTCAGTTTCAAGGAAAGTGCTTCGGCCTCCTGTTGGGTGGCTCCACTATCTCCCAAGCCCTGATCTCTGCAGTTCTCTAATAGAGAGGCGACCTTGTGCTCGATCTCTGTTAGCATAGCCTAGGAAATAAAATCATTTAATTATTCACAGTTTTCGTCTTAAAACAAATGTTACACTCCAACACAAGTCTGATTCACTCTCTCTACCTAAGTGTGTATATAAGTCCCAGAAGCCCAGGTTGGAAGAGATCTTGAGGGGAAAAAAAAAAATCCACATAATTCCTGTGCTTTTCTACAGGGGTGCAACCAAATCGGCCCCAAATTGCAGCTGTTATTCTCTAAAAGGATCTAACATAAGTGATTCTACAATCACTTTAGAAAACACAGCTGAATGCGTCCAGCATAGCATAGTAGTTAAGAACACAGACACCGAAACTAGACTACCTGGGTTCAGATCCCAGCCCTGCCACTTAGCAGCTGGGTAAACTTAGGCACCTTACTTTGCATGAGTGTGCCTCTAGTCATCTGTAAAATGGGGATAATATCAGAACTTACCTCTTGGGGTCATTTTGAGGAGTTAGAATTGAACCCACATACTTAGGCCAGTACTTGATACAAGTCTGTGCTGACTGTTATTTTTCCCCATCTTCCTAACCTTTTTCTGTTGCAATCCCAGTGGTGAGTAGTAATAAAAAAGAATTAAACAGAACTCTGAAAATCCTTTCCCTTGCTCTTTTCCTTTTTCTTTCTCCAGCCAAATAAGCTTCTAAAGTATCAGAAGAAGACCACAGAAGAAATAATTTGGAGCCTAAAACAGTAAGTCATTGATATAACTTGTCAACTCACACATGGGTCTAAAAATAAATCAGCTGGATGAAGCAAGTTTCTCAATAAGACACTGTATTTCTCCTCAGCAGATCAAGTTTGCCCTCTCCTGGGGCTCAGGAGCCCAAACAGTCATGCCATCTGGCTGGGCACACACATGTAGCAGCACCTTTGACTCACATTCCAGTACTGCGATCATATGTGCTAAAAACTCAGCGTGTCACTAAGAACAAGCTCAGTTCTTTCAGAGAAACTTAAGGAAAAATTCTATCCTTAAAACAAATTTTCAAATAATATATCTTAAAACTCCTTCATCCAAGCAAACTACTTACTTGGATCTTGTACAGACTCTTCAAAGCTTAAACAATATGTACTCATAGATTTTAAGAGTGGCTATAAACAAAGCGTACTATAATTTTGCATGTTTTTTCCCCTCACTTAGCTATTTTATATATACTTTTTCATGCATCTACATATCTGTGCTTCACGATTCCCACTTTAATAGTTGCAAGTTGATATTACATTAATCACTTAACAATAGGGAAATTGTTAAGCCTTTAAGCTGTTTCCAGTTCTTCAATTTTATAATCGATGTTGCCATAAATATTTTTCTCCTTTTTATGTTATTTTTGGAGGGTAATTTTAAAGTAATGGTCAAAGAATATTAAGTCAAAGATGAACATTTTATATGCTGGCTGCTGACCTTCCAAAACACTGAGCCAATCAGACAGAACTATCAGACATTAGTGGAGCTATTTTTCCAGAGTTTTCCATGATGATATAATTTTTGCCAATGTAATGCAGGAACAAGACAACAGCTACTTTAATTAAAATGTTTTTAATAATCAAAGCTGAACATTTCTTCTCAAATTACCGAATATAATTTTTCTTGACTGATCTGTTTGCTCCTATCCTTTGGACATTTTCCCACTGAGAACTTAGAGCATTTTTATAGACCACCGTAAGGCTTTTCATATGTTTCAGTATTAAATATGTTACATAAATAAACCAAAGATAGCCTCTGTATATTGGCCCTTAGGTTGTTTATTTGTTCACGGCAAGCCAGGGCCATTAGCTCAAATCTCACTGGCACCAAACTCAAAACTGGACCCTACATCTGTTAGTCATGGTTAAGACAAACTCTGGGGCTCTAAAAGACCCCAGCCTCTGCTGCCCTTTGGAGCTCTTAGACATTACCTAGGCACAAGGCTTCTCTGGATTCCCAGATCCCACCGATCCCCCGGGAGATTCCTTGTCCTCTTCCCCTTCCGGGTGGTGGCCCCACCCCATCCCATGCCACAGCTTCTGTAAGGTCTCCTGCTGCAAGGGACTTCCCAGTACACTAAGATGCTGCCAAAACATCACCCAAACAAAGCTCATTGTGTGCTGCCGCCACCTTGTGGTTGTGTCTTTTCTTTGAGCAGCCACCAAATCCCTGAACTCAACGGAAGTGCCCCAAGGAGAGGATTTGGGGATGATCAAGGAGTTGGTATGGAGTCCACCCAGTGAGCAGGACAATCTATTGGCAAACTGATCCTAGATGACCTTAACTGGCTGGGACTTGACATTTGAAAAGCTACAGGTTCAGAGTAGCATGGCGTTGTTCTGTGCTGTAGTACCGTCTTGTCCAGACTCCCACGCCTCATCAGCCAAGCTACACAGTTACGACAGTATTTGAGAATATGGTCTACAGTAGGAGTTCCCTGTGGCCAGGCTAGTGAGATCGGGGTACTCTGAGATGATGTCATCATCATTGAGAACCGCAGCAAGAGACAGCTGAGCCAATTAGGCAGAGACTACAGTCCAAAGCTGGTCTCAGCGCCACTGGGAGAGGCGCCTCAGCTGTTGTGGCACTCAATTGTGCTGCTGCAATGTAATCAGCCTAGCCCCTCCCTGGAGGGATATAAATATAAGGATCCCAATCTTGGGGCTGAGCCTGCAAATGTTACCAAAAGTGACTAAAGGCAAGGAATTTTACATTCCTGTTCCTCTAAGGAAGAGCAGGAGCATTCACAGTAAAATGGCAGCAAAGCCCTTTTAAGTTATCTCGTCAATCTTGTAAATCGAGATATTGTTTCATTTCATTCTTTGATTAAAAATTCAAAGAACTTATTACTATGAATAAAAATAACCGTTAGCATTTATTGAGCACTTTTTATATCTTTTATATACCAGACATTGGTTTATATACCTTTTCTCATTTAATCCTGGCAAAGTACTAAGAGATAACCTGCTATATGAAGAAAATGAGGTGAGAAATTCACTTCCTCAAGTTTACAGTTAATGGGATGGACCTGGATTTGGACTCTAGATTCTGAGCTCTTCCCCTCTACTGTCTCCCCAAATACTTTGTTAATATAAATCATTTCAAGGAATTACCCAGAGAACAAAAAGTTGAGTGCAAGATAAACAGAGGGGTCAGAGTAATAAAAGGAAACACACTGTTGCTTTAAGAGAAATTCACCTAATCGTGGAAGGTGATTGGTGAACAGACAAGCCCTGAACTCCGACCCATTAGCCTTACCTGGCACCCTACCAGCTGCTGTTCCACCACTTGCTGCATGTCTGCATTTAAAGTTTCCGGCTCGAATGCCACGTTGGCTTGGTGTAGCCACAGCTCCAGCTCGGCCACCTGGGTCTTGCAGACATGGAGGACTTCTGCAGGCTCGGGGCTAGGTTTCTCCACCGTGGCCTCAAAAGCTCCTTGCTCGTCAGAAAAGCCCAGAGCTACAGCCTTGATAGGAAGTGTGGCACCCTAAGATAAATCCAAAGATAATCCAGCAGTGAAAAGCCAGGAGTCCAAAGTTTTCAGATTTGGACTTGCAAAGACCTGAGAACTTGCAGCATTTCCCCAGTTAAAGAAAAAAAAAAATACACACACACACACACACACACACACACACACACACACAA